AAAACTTGAATCTGAAAAGTTTCCAGGTTTTCCCCACCCAAAAGAAAGTTCAAGTTCCTGCCCAGCACCCACATGTCCTTCACATGATCCAATCAGGCACCGTCCAAAACTGGAGATGCCTCCCAGTCACCTCATCGCAGCTGCAGGGCAAGATGACCTTGACTTTCTGAGAAATAATGTTATTTTGACTATATATCACCCACACTCTGTATAATCCCCCCCTTCCATTTTCCCACAGTAGAAAATGTGGCAAGCCTGAAGTTCCAAAGGTAAAAGATGGCTTCCAGGTCTGACAGATAGTGTTGCTGTAAACTAATTTTAGTAGGGTTTTCTTTTTCTTATCTCCTGCCTTAGGTTTTTGACTTTTACTTTCGTACTCTTTTCCCATACCCTTTTCTGTACTTTTCTGTCACTAATTGCAAGGTACAATAGCACAATGGATATGCATGCATGAGGTTTCCCCGAGTTTATGCCCACTTTCCTCTTGTGTATGGATGAATGCTACATTAGTCCCAGGATAATCCACCACTTGGAGAATGAATTGTATAGTATATAGGAGACATTTGCCAAAATCCTATTTATCTCCAATATGTCTTATTCTTATTTATATATTATGGGCTATTTGAAAGGGGGATTATATAACCAAAGAGACACTATACTCAACTATTTGGGTGCAAAAAAAATGAACAACAGTGGATTAAATTAAGGTCCATTAATAAAAATAATATCTCACCCAGCCTTTAGGCACAACAGTTTTACTCACTTTTCTGCAATGGCTCTGGAGTGTAGGGCACCGGAGACATCCAGAGGGGTAATTCAAAAGGATGGTGGACACAACCATGTGATCAAAACATGTCCATTTTTAAACATATCACACACACAACACAGGACTTGATTGCATGGTCATCCCTGCCATCTTGTTTCCTACACAACCTCCCGTGGAGCACAGCTCCTTAGCTGAAAGGTGAGGTGGAACATGTGGCTCTTCACCTATTAATGGATTATAATTCCCAGTAGTTCAAATAGATATGATTACAGATGACAAACACTAGAAAAGTGTAGTTAGCAAGATTTGGAGAAATACTACTGACTTACTTAGTGGCCATTAATAAATGCAATAAATTTTAAAACTTTTCTTCTTTCAATTATATCTCTGAAAAGAGTGCTGAATATAGTTCTACTCTCATAATTCCACATCTAGATGACCAGAGGGAACGATTTTAGGAAAGGCTATTATTTGTGGGATTTAAAATACCCCGACTCCACAACTCCACATAATAAGCATCATTTATGATTGCCTAAAGTATATCAAATTATAATTGATGGCTCTGTAGATATATCATGTTTCTGCATTCTGATTCACAAATCCTGATGCATGTGGGAAAAAATCCACACCCGTTAATGTCTACAGGGCAGTATAACTTGTGAGCTTAATTTTTGTCCAAAATTGCAGTGAAGGAAGAGGCTTTGGAAATAGTTGTTATGTCAAGAAATCATGTCACAAATGCACAATTATATAATGACAATGTGTGGTTTGGTGGCTTAGAGGTGGAGTTCTCACCTCATAATCAGGAGGCTGAGAGTTCGATCCTAGGTAGAGGCAGATATTTCTCTCTCTGGGCACAATGAGAATATATCTGCTGAACAAAGCACTGCATTGGTGACAGGAAGGGCATCCAGCCAGGAAGACCTGGCAGCCGATCTCTGGACTTTGGAAGCCGGAGAGCCATGCTGGGAGGGTGGCAGCGGTGGCGGCGATGCCCTGGCCCTACAGGCAGAGCTGGGCCAGGGCATGGTAAGACTGGGAGGCAAGCGAGCTGGAGGCAGAACAGGCGTTTATGCAACCCCCCTCTCCAGCTGGGCAGAGCACTGTTCACTGACTTTGGAGTATCCCAAATGTACCAAGCCACGGGAGCTGGCGGGTGGGCAGAGCACCATGTGGCTTGGGGCCTTTGGGATACCCCTAGGTCAGTGAATGGTGCTCTGTCCGGCTGGAAAGAGGGGTTGCCAGGTGGCTCCTCGTGAGCATGGTCACCTCATGGCTGATGTGTTGCACTGTTGCAACAGTGCAACATAGCCATTCGCCCCTGAGGCTGTGCCCCACTCTTTGGGAGCCTGCTTGCAAGAAAGCAGCCATCCAGCAACCCCCCTCTCCAGCTGGGCACAGCGCTACTCACCAACCTAGCGGAAGGCAGCAAGCAATGCAAGCGCCTTTGCCTTCCCCCGGGCTCCCATGGCTTGGCGCCTTCAGGATACTGCCAGGTTGATGAGTGGTGCTCTGCCTGGCTGGAGGGGAGGGTTGTCCAAGGGTCTTATTTTCAGGGGTGGGCTTATATTTTTGCCCACCTGAAAAATACGGCATGGCCTTATTTTCAGGACATGTCATATTTTGGGGGAAACATGTTACGTAAGCAATAACATTTGCACAAAGTTATAAGTATAGGCATGACTTTATTTGCCCCTCTCTTGTATCTCCCCTGTCAATATTCATGATAATATTGTTAGTCAAGAAGTTTCCTCACTACCTCTAAGACTAAAGGTAAGGAGAACAATTATGGGGAGAGACTAGTTTGAATATATTTTATTTATTCATCATATTTATATACCTGCTTATCTCACAAGCAACTCTATAAAATATCCAGCTTAATTTGTTTTTAATAGGAAACAGCAAAAAAGGGTAACATTAACCAGAATAATTTAATTATAGCAATAGATAAAAATTAGTATTACATGTTTAATAATTTTAAGTTAATCACAGGAAAGTATAGAGCCTGATCCTCATGTCCTTATAGTCCTGTATTCTGGCCCCCCTCTGTCTGGTAATGAACGCAGACACAGGCTTAGCTGTTTGCCACTCTTTATTCACAGCAATTATAATCCTGTTGAAAGCCCAAACACGACTCACTGGCAAGATGTTGGCAGCAACCCAGACTCCAACAGACACGGGAACACAAGGGAGACCAGACAAGGAGTTCTCCAGATTACTACGAATGGTTGTGTCCTGCAAAAGTACTCCTCCCCAAGTCTCTTCTTATATACTCTTTTGGGAGGNATTGAAAGATATAAGCAGCATAGTTATAGTCATAAATGAGAAGAGATAGGTACTAGGAAGGAAGAGAAGAATAATAGTAATACAGTCTTAAATTATTTGACAGTGTTGTGACAATTAGTTGTTAAGCAGAGTGATGGCATTCGGGAAAAACCTAAAAGGTTGTGGGCCATTTTCTGTCTGGCTTAAGAGGTTTCTGCTCAGAAAACTCTTAAAAGGTGGGCGACCTAATGGGAGGCACTTGGGAATCTTACCTGTGACAATGAGTAATGTATATGGCTGTTTCTTCCCACATGGCTTTAACATCTTTTAGCCTGGATAATATTTCATGCTTTTGCTCTTCACTGATACACTGAAGCAGAGCATCAGCCTTCATTAGGACTAGGTCCATTTTCAACCGGCCTTCAGGTTCCAATGCACAAATTTTCTATTAGGAAGAATCGTACATGGAAATTAAAATTAAATTAAAACATGAATATATTCTTTAACGAGGTGTTTTTTTAGAAACATACTTAAAAAGAAAAAACTAGATCCATACTCTTTTAACACTGGAAAATTATGGACTATAGACTATCGGTAGCTTCATTCAGAGTAAACAGAAGGAAATGCATTGAGTGAGTGAATGGAAAGGAAGAAAACGGATAAAGGAGGCCTTCTCATAATAGGGTTAATTCAATCTTCCCATCCTGTGCTTTAAAATAATTCCTGCACAGGGTAATTTTAACTGACATAATTTAATATAAATTGTGTGTTTCTCTATTATATGATTATATGTCATCATTTTCCAGTAAATAAAGCCGGGTTAGGATTATACTATTAGGGGCACATTTTAACTGAATGTCACATCAATTGATTTAATTAAGTTAATGAACTACAAATTAATCTTCTAGCAAGGTGGACATTTAACAGAATTAGACCTCCACATTTATTGTGCAATTTTGTGCATTTTGCTCTGAGAAATACTGGACAGGAGACTAAGAGCTACGAGGATAGATGCATGTATGCATGTCAAAGTGTGTGTGTGTGTGTGTGTGTGTGTGTGTGTGTGTATTAGATGATACTGCTGAGATTATTTTAAAATTGCGACTTTTTTCTTTCCTCTCCATCTCCCCGCCCACTTTTTTGGAACTCTTTTGTGATCTTGAAAGCAGATACAATCCTATTTTCAGCATTTCTGTAATACCAAGCCTCTACTCCTAACAATCAATTATCATTCTAAAGCTATTCAGCAGATTTCCATTGGATTTTGGTGGTTGACAGGTGAACACTGTGTTGCCTTTAGATGTTTTATCTGCTAAAGATCTTTTTCTCCTTAATGATTATTTTGTTGACACTGGGAATTCCCTTGCAAGGGTTGATTGTCAATGTAGTAAGATTAGGAGATGTATGCTGGATAGTGTCAGGGTTCCAAGCAACACCCCCAACAAAAGAAGACTCCGAGGCTTGAGTTTCCTCAAAGTTCCACTTTATTAGAGATGTCATATTGGCACATCTGGGAAAACTTGAATCTGAAAAGTTTCCAGGTTTTCCCCACCCAAAAGAAAGTTCAAGTTCCTGCCCAGCACCCAC